TGTTGTACTTAAATATGGTAGCCATTCACAGCACAAAAGCACCGTGGTATTAGCATCTCTGTACTATAGTACTGCCAGTGGTGTTTTTCCATTTATACATCTACTTATGATCCCACTGATCCATCCATCCATCCATCTATCATTCTGTTCAACTGATGAGCCTTTGAACATTTTCAATATCAAATCTAAGATATTGAAATTCTTAGAAATGCACTTCATTCTTGAAGTGCTGCATGTATTCCTCAAAATTAATGAACTTGGCTTCAGTAAATTGAGTGTTCGGTTTGAAATTGAGTTTAACCAAAGGTTATTATGGGAGAAGAAAAGACAAAAATGAACAGGTCTGGACATGTTCTACAGGTTAAAATGCATGACATCATTCTTCCATTAACGTCTTCATATTGGTACAACATCTTTGAATGAGGAGCACACATCCCACATTTTACAACATAATTGTCTCTTTACAAAGCTACAATGAGAATAAATTAGTTATTTTATCAGAAAAATGTGGTTTGTAGCAACAGGTCACATTATAGAGATATTAGGAAGAGAGATAAAAAACTGTCACGGAAAAGACACACATTTTTGACCTGTGAACAGCATTAAAAAAATTCATAATATCACCTTCTTTTTATAGGTTAAGAAAACTAACTATAGAACTATAAACAGACACAGATAAAAGGTGATCAAAACTAATTTTACTATAATAAATGTACAGTGAAAGATTGTGTGTGAGTATATATATAATATATATATATAATATATATTATAATAAGAGTATATATAATATATAATATATAAATTCAATGGGCCTATATTATTATATTTTATAAATCATACAATGAAATACTACTTACATTATATGTAGACTTTTTTTTGTTTTTTTTACCAGGGTCGATTCTGAATAATATACTGTACACGGTCACTCTGTTAATAATTCAATGCACACTCACCCAATCAGACTTTCCCACGCTCTACACTGGGGGAAGATGGGGCTTTCTGTGACCAATTGATCTTCGGCCTTGTCCAACAAATCTAGCACTGATCACCTGAAAACAGGAAACAGGTGTTATCAAGGGTTATGTCTCCGCTCCTGTTCACACCCTCCTGGTGAGGATCACTCACACAGGCTTCATGGCGACATTTACGACAGGCCCTGTAGTTTGAGGTAAACACATGGTGACGAAAGTAAACACATGCTCTCTCCATTAGTCACATGGGCAACAACAAAATCACTGTCAGAATCACAAATTAAACAGAGGACTATAATGAGGATTTCAACACTTTATGTATTTTTTTTTTTAAGTTTAATGTTGACTTAATCACACACACTTAAAAATAAAGGTTCCCAAAAATGGAGTTTCACAGCAATGCCATTGAAGAACCAGTTTTGGTTTCCCAAACTTTTCAGTGAACAGTTTTCTGATCCAACTAACTCTTTTCCAATATAAAAATGCTTTTGTACATTTGAAAGGTCCCACACTCTCAGAAAAAAAGCCACAAAAGCTGTCACTGGGGCTGTCCCTTTTCAGAAGGTACACTTTTGTACCTAAAGGGTGCATATTGGTACAGTACCTTAATGGTACATATTTTCACCTAAAATGTACAAATCAACACTTAAAATGTACATATTAGCACCTAAAATGTAGATATTAGCACATAAAATGTACATATCAACACTTAAAATGTACATATTAGCACCTGAAATGTAGATACTAGCACCTAAAATGTACATATTAGCACCTGAAATGTACATATTAGCACCCAAAATGTATATATTAGTATCTGAAATGTACATATCAACACTTAAAATGTACATATTAGCACCCAAAATGTACATATTAGTGTCTGAAATGTACATATCAACACTTAAAATGTACGTATATTAGCACCTGAAATGTTCATATTAGCACCTGAAATGTACATATTAACACCTGAAATGTATTAGCACCTGAAATGTAAATATTAGCACCTAAAATGTACATATTAGTATCTCAAATGTACATATCAACACTTAAAATGTACATATTAGCACCTGAAATGTACATATTAACACCTAAAATGTACATACTACCTAAAATGGACAAAATTTTACCTTTTGAAACGGTACAGCCCCAGCGACAGATTTCGTACCTTTTTTTCTGAGTGCATGGATGTCAAAGGCTCTTTATGGAACCATATAACCTTTTATTTTTAAGAGTACAGGTATATGCCTCGACTCATTCAGAAATGTTGATACTCCAGCACGTAAATAGGGTCATCACTCCTAAAACTCTGCATAACAATTTTTTTTTAAATGCTATTAATATCTGTTTTTTAAACACTTCAAATAAACACTTTGTGCAGTTTGCCCTAACAAAACCTGAATTTGTATGTACTGAAAAATATATTAAGTGCATCTAAAACCTCACGCTTTAGATAGAAGTGTCCATCAAATGCATATGAATTACAGAATAATATAAATAATCATGCCTATAAATAATAAATCAATTCTGATCTCATATCTGCAACAAGTTGGACTGTGGATCTGCACATACAGATCCATTTTGTGCCATGCATGCACCCTGCATTCAGAGATACCAGTGGATAAAGTAACAACAGTAGGCTAATGTCATCTAGTAAGCATTCACCCCAAGAGGGAGAGAGCATGGCAAACCAATTACGCTACCCCTGAAGAAAATGTGACAGACAATGCATTGAGGCATGACATAATCAATTATTGTTAGCATAGAAATAGCAGATATAAAAAAGATCATGAGGAAAGATATTTGTCATGCATGATAGATTTGCAGTGATTCTTTAGTCACGGTGTGCAACTTACATAAGCAGTTCACGACAGCAGTGAACGGGAATGTCCATATTACAATTTTGACAGATGAAACCATCTGAAATGAAATTGCACATGTTTAAGAGATAAATTACGCTGATTATGCATTCTTGAAATATCAGAGATAACATTAATATGGACCACAATAAACCGATCTTGTAGTTTCAGATATAATTCAGATTACAGATGCCCAGATCTATAGCTATCTGTTTGACTAGTTTTGATGTTACTGGAGATCAATAAAGTATTTTCAAATGCAGCAATTCCAGCACATTTCTGTATTTGGTTGCATTGTGAGTATTTGCAGCACATATGTTGTCAAACTGATTAAGATGATTTCTTAGTTTGCTGGTGTTTTTTTTCCTACTGGCTTGTGTTTTCTTCAGTTGTGTGTATATAAATACACTCTATATATGATATTAAGAATGACATTTGTAATGTGTTTTGTACAGTTCACTTCCAAGAATATCCTTGAAGTCTCTCTTCACATTCAACAAGTTCTTATCAATTATGTATGATTGATGTTTCTATTGATCAATCAGAAGCTTAACTCTCTGAATGAGGTCCAGTGGGTTTGGGGTGTGTGAGGTCTGGGGGGTGTTCAGGCTTGGCTGGTAAAACACAGTAGCAGGTGAGCTGGGACGATGTGGCAAGGTGGCCCCTGGGCTGAGTGATATCCCAGAGTGCACTGTATATCTCTGCCTGCCGTTTTACTGCTGCACCGGGGCGGCTCGCCGCTAAATCACCGGCTATGAAGCGATGACGGGAAGAATGACTGTTTTCATAACCTCGCTCGGCTGTCAGTGATATGAACACACACGCCACATACACATTCCCCCTCTCTTTTCCTGGAGTAAACACACCTTCATAAAAACAGATGAAGACAAGTAGAAAAGAATAAAAGCTTCAAAGAAAAGCTGCTTAATATCGCAAAGTTTAAGTGTAGAGCATATTTCTTTTTTACTCCACAAATGTCTGATACATCATTTCTGTGACTAATTTATGATACCATAGTAATATAATTGTTTTTTGCATACATACCATAGTCATACTTTGGTTTTTAAGACATATTCCATGCTAGTGCTAACGAAACAGCACATGAATATGGTAATCTTTCAGAAACATGGTAAAACTATCAAAGTACAATGGTATTACCATCTGCATCTGATACCATGACTGTACCGTGGTAATCCTAAAGTCCTTTTTTCTGTAAGGCTATCTCTGTTCTCACTCTTTAAATCTGTCAGGTGGTGCAGGAGGAGGTCTGCTGGAGAGACTGAAGATATATTTTGTACACCACCAAAGGGTACATGATACCACTGTCTTTTTGTGGGAACAAGAAAAAGTAGAACCTACCTAAATTTCCTTAAGCCTAGTTCACACTACATGATTTTAAAATGTCGGGCTGAACTGTGCAGTTTACACTACATGACTTGCTCTCAGTGAAATCATGAGTGTTCAAGTTGTTTAGCTGTTCACACCACACAACACAGCGTGATTGATCCACAACAGGAGGTAACTCACTACACGAGTTAACAACGCACTACATAGAGATACAACCACGATCGGATGATAAGAGCATATCATTTGTGACTCAATGAGAGCTGTTTCAGTACTATAGTACGGTCTAAATCCTGAAAATAATCAAACAAATAACGAGTTGACAACAACACGATTCTATCTGGTCTAGAAACCATGTTTTGTCACGAAAAACCACGCAATAAAACGAACCAGAAATGACGCGAAACTGCAGAGAAGAACACAACACGCGAATATGGACGTCAGACAGAAACTAGTGCTGCACACTGTTTGCTCGACGATATGCTCTGAGAAAAAAAAATGCAAAAAAGAAAAAGTAAGATTTACCTGGTGTCCTCAACCCATGCGTTGCTATGATTGGCTGTACTCATGACATCACTGAGATTGAGTCGCGCGACTGCTCGAGATATCTAGCATGCTAGATATTTTTCTGAGCTCGGTGACCTGTCTGCGAGCTGTCTGCGAGCTGTCTTTGATGCGTTGTTGGCTCTTTCACACTATCGGATTGGCGAGCGTTAATCGTCCGCTAATCGCCCGCGATTTGCACGCGATAACACCCTGACTTGTCGGCGACTCAACGATTTGCAAATCGGGCTTAAATCGGGCTTAAAATCACGTAGTGTGAACTAGGCTTTAGAGAGCCGTACTGTGCAAACAGCTGGTGGCTGAAAATGATTCAACAGACCTGCAGATGAATTAATCAGACTTAGTGACTCTGACCAAACGGAAGCTGTGACTGAGATTACGGAACCACTATCGAACAAGAAAAAACATTGGGTGGGACTTGACTTTATCCATTGGTTGTTGATTCGGTTGTGAAAAGTAAGCGTTGCATTCTACAATGAAGGCAGAATTTGGTTAATGTGGTATTTTCTTCATAAAACTACAGTGAAAAAAAAAGTCAAAAACTCGGTTTGAAATCGCTGGTGTTTCTTACATCACAAACTAACTTGTAACCAATCATGGTCAATGTGCCGGCGGGCTTTAGCACATCATTAACTGATGCAAAGCAGGGGAGTCTCAAGAGAAGCCAGGTTATCCTGGTATATTTTAGTGTTGATATGAAAAATCGTGTTTTTTCTGTGTGATACTGAGACATTTATATCAATAGTTCAGGAAAATAGGCAGAGAAACATAACATAAATGGAAAACTTAAAATCAAGGTTTACAGGTCACTGTGATTTGTCTATTATCAGTGTATTCTGATTAAATAAAAATGTCTTGCAAGCATATAGAATATAAATATAGTAAATATATGTAGTATATATAGTAAATATATGTATAAATATAGTAAATATATGTATATCTTTATACATATGTATTAATAGCCAAAATTCTGAAAATAATTTATGTAGTGTACCATTGAATAACAATTAGTTGTTAATCAGCACAACTGATATTTTAATATTTACTTTACTGTGTACAATTTAGCCCTCCCTCTGTCCCATGGTCTCTTTCTGGTCACCTGGAAATGCTCTCCTGATCCACTGTTTGCCGGAGCAGCAGGAATGACCATTATCCACCACGGATCACAAAGAAAGGCCTGCAAACTCCGGATACTGAGTGAGAGTGAGAAAAAGGAAAAAAGGGGTTGAGGAGAGAAAAGGGAGAGGGTCACACTTTTCTGACATGCATTCATCCGATGGGTCGTTTCATCCCTGAAAAACAAAAACATCACAGAAGAAAAGCAAAACTGGAAACCTGCAGGAAGGAAAAAAGAAACCCAACCAGGGGGGATAGAGCAGTAATTTAACTTCAGACACACACACACACACATCTTTGTGAGGACATTCAGTGACACAATGCAATCTCTAGTTTCTTATCCTAACCTTACCCATCACAACTAAGTGCCTGACAAACCTAATTATAACCTTAAAGGAGTAGTTCACTTTTAAAAAACACTTTTGTTGATAATTTACTCACCCCCATGTCATCCAAGATGTCCATGTCATTCTTTCTTCAGGCGAAAAGAAATTAAGGTTTTTGATGAAAACATTCCAGGATTTTCTCCATATAATGGACTTCAATGGGAACCAAACGGTTCAAGGTCCAAAAGACACTTTCAGTGACAACTGTTCAAAGGGCTTTAAACGATTCCAGACAATGAATAATTGAGTACGTTTTATAAGCTCAAATGGTCTTCTTGCTCTGTTCTGTGATGCGTGTTCTTGACTCTCATGCTCGAACTCGTTCATCAAAATGAACGAATCTTTTTTCGAGTCAATTCGTTCATTTCGATTGTTGAATGAAACAAATGACACAAAAAAAAGATTTGTTCATTTTCATGAACGAGTTCGAACAGGAGAGTCACGAACGCGCATCACAGAGCAAAGCAAGGCGAGCATTTGAGCTTATAAAACTTAAACGTTGTTATTTTTTTTTTTTTAAATGAGTGATCGTTTTGCTTGATAAGACCTTTATTCACCGTCTGGAATCGTTTAAAGCCCTTTGAACAGTTTGCAGTTTGCACTGAAACTGTCTTTTGGACCTTGAACCGTTTGGTTCCCTTTGAAGTCCATTATTTGGAGAAAAATCCTGGAATGTTTTCATCGAAAACCTTAATTTCTTTTCGACTGAAGAAAGAAGTACATGGACATCTTGGATGACATGGGGGTGAGTAAATTATCTGCTAAAGTTTTTTCAAAAGTGAACAACTTCTTTAACCCTGAAACCAAGTCTTGACCAAACTCAAACAGGCCTTTAAAGGGATCTAAAACAGTGAGGACCGGCCAAAATGTTCTGACTTTAATCTACTGTATGTCCTCACTCTGCCGGTCTAAAACGCAAACTGGTCCTCACAAACATAGTTGTACAAGTGTACACACACACACTCACACACACACTTGAGCACGCACACGCGATAAATATGGCATGAAAGCCATCATAAACTCAAGCTCTCTCTCCTCCTCTCGCTCTGAACTGTGTGATAAATGTTTAATTAGGAGACTAATTGTGTGTATAATTAACAGTCATCAATCTCATAACATCGGAGAGTAATCATCAGCTAATGCTATCAGATGTGTACTCACACACACACAAGCATCACTACACATGCACTCGCACCAAAATATGCCATACATATTTAATGTTATTCAAATATCCATTAACACTATTGCATTTTTAAGGAAAAAAAACATGTATAAATTGTATATTTATATTTTTTAAGAAAATAGGAGTGGTGTTAGAAGCTTGCTAGGATGATTTGAGTGGTTACTTACTGACTTTTTCTCTCCACCAGGAAATAAAAAATTCTAATTCTAATCAAAGCCAAAGCATTGAAATCACCACTAATGAATTAATATTATAAGACTGTAGCTTGTTCTGTTTAAAACTGACTGTTCATTGGAGCTTCAACAAGGCTTTTGCACTCATTATTAAACAAAATGTACTTATAATGCAAGAAATTAATATATATGAACATATAGTATGAGTTTAAAGATAGTTACAAAATCATTTCAGAAATAGTAATTTATTCAGCACATCTGCCTTTAAGATAAATATTTAAATAAACTTTTAAATAGCTTTGTCACCGATAGGGTGTTAAAGAGTGTAATATTCTAAGCATTTGAGATGGATGTTTCTTAAAGTGCTATTTTTTGCAAAGCGAGGATCACACAGGGACTGAATTTAACATGTAAATCTCACTACAGATGTCAAAAATTTACACATCTTATACTGTCAAATATGATAGGAGAGTGGCATCCTTAAATTATACCCTAGACACGGTAGCGGCACACTAGCACGCATGTCTGCGGATGGTGAAAGGAATAAATGTCTGCTGGTAGCGTGATGGAGGTTAGAGATTATGAGGAGTCAGATTAAAACACAGGTGTGGATGTACCAGTGTTCACTGCACTGTTTTAATGCAGACATATCTGTTTAGTTCATTGTAAGCCTCCACACATACACTTACAAATATGAACACATGAACAAAGGCATTGGCTACACGGTTTTACTATGATACCAGATACTCCTGAATGTTGGATAGGATCCTTCTGAATTTCCCCTCAGGGATCTATAAAACACCTCGAGATCTGTGCATCTGAGAGTGATATGTGGCCACTGCGGGTAATGCTGTGCTTACGGAATTGTAGAAACGACTACTAAATGTCAACAAAGCAAATATTTCTAAAGAAATATTGTGGATTCATTTGAAAATCAGATACACAAAGAAATTGTGGATATGACAAAACGCATTTATTCACGCATGTTACGTGACATTTCTATATATATTTACATTTCTCTCTCTCTCTCTCTCTCTATATATATATATATATATATACAGTATATATATATATATATATATATTATGACTGTCTTTATCAGTAGGCAATTTATATTTAATTTTATCCCATAATATTCATGTTTACACTTGTCAACTTAAGTTTAACTCGTGTATGGGGAAAAATATAGCGACAAAGTTTTTTACACAAAATATTCTTTACAAAAAAGTTGTTTTTGACACAAAAATTATACTAAATGTGTTTGTGTGTGTGTGTGTGGGGGGGGGGGGGGCATAAATATAAAATTAAATGAAAGCTATTATTAGCATTTTTTGCTCTGACTTTCAACTTTCCAAAAACATTTTAATGTGACAATTTTATGTGACATCACAAAGTATGTTTTGAAATAGAAACAATGGGTTGTAGGGCGGTAGCGATACACTAATCTCATGATAGATACATGATATTCAGCTAAAGATATGATATATAATCACAATATTCAGCCAACGATACGATTCGATATAAATCGATACACTTACATCATTTTCTGAAAGATTTAAAGGGGACAGAGTGATTTTAGAGACATCTTGTGAGTGTTCAATTTACTTGGATTGAATTAACTGACTGAAAACTAAAAACATCAATTGCACAATATGTCTTTGACTGGACAGAGTCTCTACAGCTTGCAAATGCTGGACAAAAAGATGTTAGAAAATTAGTTCTATTTATCATTTCTTGAGTGCAAACTGTAGCTTACAAGCCTTTCAAAAGTAAAGCTGATTGGTTGGTTCTTGTCACATGACCTGCGGTGCGCTTGCGGCATTTCTAAAAAGTTGAGGTGTTTCATTTTGCCGCGCCTGGGGAAAATGAGCGCGATTGCCACGCGACTACGTTTGAAATAACGAACTTAAGTGCACAAAAGACACGGAATGTGAACGGCACCTTGGCGGGCTAAGTTAAACACGCTGAAATTGAATGGGACTTATGTATCGATAATCGCGGCTTAAAAAACGATACGTTCCTGGGGGAAAAAATATCGATTTATATCGCAGAATCAATGAAATTGCTCAGCCTTACTGGTTGGTATTATTTATTTGAAAGCACACAGAAACAGAACCATAGAACCAAATGAGACTTTGGTTTAAATCTTTTTTTTTTTTTTATTTAAGAGTCCAAAAATTCCACGTTTCTTCGCTAGAGTTTTAAAGAAGAATTTATAATTATTAATTAGAATCAAACGGTCTTGATTCTAAAAATTCTAAAAAAGAATTGCCAAGATACCAAAGTCTACAATCAAAAATCAGAGATGTCAATATGAACTATTATCTGATAGTTGATTCAATAGTTGATCCGATGATCCGATTGAACAAATTATCCGATTTACTTTACTGAAAGTCAACGGTCTATTAACATTGTTTATTAGACAAAAATACAAAAAGAAGGACTTCAGTGCGATCTAATGAACCTGTTATTTCAAAGCCATTACAGTAACCTTCACTGAAAACAATACTATTTAGCACCAGAGTCTGCCTGCCAAAACAGTACAGTCTTACTTACATACATCCACTTTATGGAAAGATTAAATAATATTTGTGAGGTGTTTATGGATCATGTAAACAACTACACCTTGTGATATTCCAGGCTCTTTCTCATTCTCCCCTCTCTCTCTCTCTCTCTCTCTCTCTCGCTCTCGCTCTCTCGCTGCCTCTGTCAGATTGACATATTGGGTTAATAAGTGCCTCTCCCTAGCCTGAGCAAACTAATTAAATATTAATCCTGAAGTGGAGGTCAGAGAAAACTAACAAACAGCCGCATGGATGCACACACGCTCAGGCGTAAATACACACACATATCTGCATTATCAGAAGTTTAAGCTGTCTAATTAATTTTTCTTCCCATATGGTGGAACTTGGCTGGGCTTTAAAATGCAGTGGCATGTTCACGAACACATACACCGATAATCTCTCATACAGACACACACGCAAATACTCATGAGATCATACTAAAGCATGCTCAAAACAATCGACCAAACAAAGGCAACCATTAAAGGGATAGTGGTTAAAGTGGTTAAAGGGATAGGGATAGCAAAAATGAAAATGATGTCCAAATCGTACTACTTTCGTTTATCTTCAGAACACAAATGAAGATATTCTTAATGAAATACGAGAGCTTTCTATAGATCGTAAATCTAATCCATAAGAATTGAGCGGTTTAGACCAAATTTTTTGAAGAGACACGATCGCTTTATATGATGAATAGATTGAATTTAGGCTTTTGTTCACATATAAACATTCATCAACTCACACATCAGGTGTGGTTCACTGAAGCTCAAGCAT